ACCTCTCGGTATTGTTATACTTCTTAATTAGGTGAAAATAAATGAATTGAAAAGATGAAAGGAACTCGTGTAACATCTCACTTCAAAGGGCAGCTCTGCTCTTGAGGAGTGTTTAAAAAAAAGAAAAAAGAAAAGAAAAGCAGCTTATTCAAGAAATATGCTTTCTCTGTGGATTTGGTTTCACTTTTACCTGCTTTAGAAACTCGGGAATGACTTCTGCTCATTTGACCTAAATGGAGTCATTACCCCAGCGTTAAAGGAGAATGGAAGCTGGCTGACAGTGATGTTCCCCCCAGCACTCCTTCCTTGCACTTTGCATTGACTCAGCAATGCTCTCAAATAAGCAGGATTATTTTTTGACCTTGTGATGGGATTTTTATCAAAGTTTCAAAGCTCTGGGCTGTGTCCTGGACAGAAATTGTACATGCGCAATGGCTCTGTGTCTGGATTTACTTTGTCTGGGCAAATGAATCGAAAAAGCTGCTGAATCACTCATCTGCCTGCTAAGCAAGTTAGCCTTCCCAGAATCCAGAGGCAGGTGCTCACACTCAAAAATATCTAAAAGCCATGACTTGTATACTTTTCATATACAGAATAGCTTATGTTATGCAAAATATTTCACCACCTCAGCACTGGCTGATTGATCTTGAGGGCCCTTTTGGACTCCTGATTTAAGTCAGTGCTGTCCAACTCCAGGGTAATTTTTTTGCCTTCCACCAAATTTTACTCATAAGTCCTCTCTTTAAACATGAGTTGTTTGTTTAACCCTTAAGCACTTTATTTCCAATCACATCTGTCCAGGACATTACTCTTGTCATCACATTTCCATGTAAAAGTGACATGACTAAGGAGGGGATGAATTCAAACTGCCCAAGATGCCACAGTTACCTTCCTTGTTTCAGTTGCCCTGAAATGTGGGATGGTGGCTTTAGAGAGGCAGAAGCCTACAGAGAAGTGTCATAACAATCAATTGATTAACTATCTCCATCCCTAGGAAGATTCTAAAGGTGAAACCTCTCTCTGTAAGCAGTAATTTTCTCTCATGACTCAAAGGAAAAATTGCTGCTTCTAGAAGCAGACGTCTTGTGTTAGTTGGAAAAGAAGAGCAGCTCATCAGCTTTATAACTCCTTGATAGATTTAGGCAGGCTGCTGGTTTTTGTTATGCCACAAAGCTCTTTAACCAGTTTGTCAGATAGCAGGTTGATGTGAAATGCTATCAGCTTTTCACAAACACAAACAGCAAAGCAATTAAGCTCATCCCACATGTGATTAAGTGGGATCAATTATAAGAACTAGATAAGAGAGGTAAGCTTGTTGTTTCCTGGGTTGGTATTCTGCAGTATTAGCCTTTGTAAGTATCCTTTATAAATCATCAGCTGCAAAACCTTTCTTACTCTGGGAAATGGCTTCTAGACCAGCATTCAAATGATCTTCATCCTAAACTGATTATTCTAACACTGGAACTGCTGCTGAGTGGGGAAACAATTTATTTGAAGCATCAATTGCATCAAATAGAAAAGTAGCCATCGATTTGCAATGCAGGGAGCATGTTTGCTCTCCATCTTAAATACATTTAAATATTCTGGAAGAGAGCTCTTTGTGTTCCAAGAGGGGAATAGCTAGCCTTCATAGCATCATGTTTTGCTGTGGTACTAAGTAAAATTGCTATAGCACTTAAGGGTTCATTTGTTAAATATTAGAATTTATAGATGATACCTGTAAATTTTTACATTAAATTTAAACAGTTGTTCAGAAAATCTGAAGAATATATCTGAGAGTCAAGTGCACTGGAAGTAGTGTAAATATACATAAGAATAACAAAATGTTAATACTTTATCAGACATGGAAAGGTGGTAATGTAGTGTGATGGTTTTAAGCCCTGCTGGGACCGGAGACCATGCTGCTGTTGTCCCCCACCCACACTTGGACACAAGTAGGGCACAAACCCCGGGTTAAAATAAGAAGAAAATTTAATACAATAGTGTAATAAACAATCTGAACAACAACAACAGTAGCAATGATAACAACAATAAACAGCAATAACAGTAAACAAGACAAAATATATACAGAGAAATACCGCAATGGATACAGACAGCCCGCTCCGTGTGCTCCCCGTCACCAAAGCCACAAAGGAAAGCTTCCCGCGCTGCCGCGCCGGACGTCAGCATGGTATGAATAACCCGGCTGGAGATCCATTCTCCCTGATGGGGAAACTTGACCCTATCCTAGCTGAACCAGGACATGTAGAAATAGAGGGGGCTGTGTGAACATATAAAATGTAAGAGGAATGTTGCAAAATAGTCTGCATTGGAATTGTAAAAAGAGAGACTTGCCCATATCTTTGAGCAAATATTTTTAGCATTATTTTCAATTCTTTCATGGCTTCTGTTGCTTGCAATGGAGCTCCCAGCAGGCAATTTCTTTGTAATTCAGAAAGAATAAATAACACAGGTCTAACAAAACAATGCAGGATGCAGATACTGCCACAATGATTGTGCTGTTCTGGATTGTAATGTTTGACCAAAATCCCACAATTGAGTTTGCTTGCTTTTTTTTTTTTTTTTTTTTCTGAATGGGAAGAGTTTCCTAAGCTCAGGACTATTTCCATAAAAATCTTAGAACAGTGACATTGTTCATGCATCTCTTCTGTTGGTTAGCAGTGGATGTACTGCAGCTGTCTGCTTAGTTAATAATCACATCTACTGTAGAGAAATCCAATTTTCACTTCCCCTTTTACTATAGGTAATATTTGGAGGCCTTTGAAGATCTAGGCTGGCGCCTTTGTTGCCCTTTCAAGTTCTTTTCTATTCTGATAATGATAAGGTTGTTGAGGGTTGTGCAGTCTTCTTGATGGGCTCAGTGCCACATTCTCTGCTCTAGTCTTTAGTTCCCAGTGTTTTATTTGCTTTGCTAGCCATTTCCAGTAACCAAGCAGGGCAGGTCAGTTCCTCCTTGCAGATCCTTTCTGTAATCTCTCCTTGGCAGTCATGCAGGATCACTGTGACATTTCCTGCAGCCAGTACAAATTTTTAATGTTTTTCTGCATATAGTTCCAAACCCACTATAAGCCTCTGCCTGATCTCTTCCTCCTCCACCAGTTTTTCTGCCTTTTTGGGTAGTGTTGCTTCCCTCATGATAGTGATCCATAGGTCTCTGTGAAAATATTCCTAGTGTTAGGTCTCTTTCAGATCACAAGTGACCACTTTTAAATTTAATCACTGACAACCAATAAGGCTTCTTCCCTGAAGTTCAGGAGCAATAGATTTTACTGTTAATTATTACTAAGCAAGATTCAGAAATTCCTAAGAAGGATTCTTTGGCCTATGTTGCGCTGAAGTATGTGAGCATGACTGATCTCTTTTGGGCCATTCATCCTTGTAGTGGTCCACCACTTTTGTCTTATCACTTGGTTTATAATTATTTGCTGCCTCTATCTCTCTTCTTTCATCCCAACTGAACATATTACCATATATACACAATACTCTTGCATTATTCTTTTGTGTGGAACTTTACCAAATATTTTTCAAAGCTTTATATGTCCTTCACCTGAGTGTCATCTGCAGCATTTAAGCTATTTGATAACTACAGAAAAATGAAATAAGCAAGAAAAATCACTGTAGAAGTGAGAGCTGTTATGCTATTTTATTGAGGTTTATTTTATTTTAAAAAAAAAAAAAAGCATTTGAAGTCTGACATTTTTAACCTTTGAGCCTTTTCACTATACATTCTTAATTGTGGCACCAAAAGCTGTTTACATGCATTATGAAAAATGATACATCCAGCTGAAAAAAAAAATAATCCCCTATTTTCTGGTCTGTTATGTGTGCATGTAAAGTATTCTTGCCCAGGAGTGCCTTTGTTGTGCTCCGTGTTGTCCAGTCATTTTTCAATGCAGACATCATCAGACCTTTCTGAGAAGGATTCAAGGAACATCAGGTCCCTGGGAAGGTCTCATCCTCATGATCTGAGTTTAATTTTAATCTTGAACCATGAAATTTGGGGTTGTTGCTGGTGGGTTCGTTTCCAGCATTAACTGTTACAGTTCTGGAGACAGCACCCTCCTTAGAGACTTGTTGTGACCCCAGGTTCAGCCTTTCATGGTAGTAAGTTCTGTGCAGTTTTGACTTCATCAATTGTCAGCATTATTCTGCATTCCCCTTTGTGGTAAAGAAAGCTGAATGGTTACTCCTTAAAACTTCTTGTGGATTGTGGTGCATACAAAGCCTAAATAAAACATATTTTGATAATTGATATGGTGTCCCTTCTTCCCCCTTGAAATTCTCTTGGGCACCACTTCCTGAATACATTCCAACCTTGAATTTGCACCTTCTCTTTCTGAGCTGTGGGAATAGCTGCAGTAGTTCATCAGTTCCCTCATTTTTGTTTTGATGTTTCCTTTAAAAGATGTTTGTAGGATATGCGGCTTTTCCCCCACCCCTGTATAGTGCTCTTGTTATATAGGTCGGTTATCATTAATTTCCAAGAGGAGAACATGGAGGAAGATTTGTTAGTGATCTTCCTCTTTGTTCCAGGTAAGGAAGGTCCCTCTTGCATTCTAACTCAATTGTATTAGATGTAATCACTTTGGGGTGGGGGGTAGGGGGGGTGGAGGGAGTAAACACAAAGTCTCAAAGTTTACATCTGTCTCCTCACCTATTCCTAACATTGTTGGAAGGTAATGAAGGACCTTGTGACATTAAGCTCATAAGACATAACTGTTACCCATTATTTTAAAAATGCAAAAACCCCAAGTAGCCCATGCAGGGGAAACTCTAATTTTCTATGTTCAAGCAACTGTTCATATGAATCTCTATAGCTTTCAAGAATATATTTTTGCTTCACAGGACACTACAAGACTGGAAGATGAATTCCTAAGGAAAGTATTCCTACTCTGCAAGTTAGATTCACTGAATATAAAATAATAACTCTCAAAATAAATTTAAAGTCTGTACTGTAGCTGCATGATTTGTTTACTGTGCTCATTTATTCCATTCCTTAGGTTTGAAGACGGCACAGTCTCTTTTCTTGATATCATTGCTCTGAAACATGGATTTGATGTTCTGGAAAAACTCACAGGTCAGTTAACATAACTCTAATACTGAAGAGTGAATTTTCAGATTTATACTCAGGGCACATCTGATCCCATTTCCTATGGCTGTAGCTTAATTTTCCTTTCTAGATTTACTATCCATGTTCATCAGTGTGAAGATCAGACTTCAGTGTAACTGGTTTATTCAGGTTTTATGTATTGGATTATTCCATTCTGGTTTGGAAAAGAAAAAATGTATTCAGACTCTTCTCCATGGATACACACCCAAGACTTGAGTACATCAAGCACATGTAGTCTGCTTCACGCTCACAAAGATTCAACAGGAAAGTAACAGTCGAAAGTAGACAAGTGGCTTCCACTGTTTGAGTACCTTTGAAGCCCTTAACAGAGTGAATGCTAAAGATCCAAATAAAACTTTGAGCTGATCTTCAAGCCAGAAGCTCGATGTGAAGGGTGACACTCATGTGCCTTGTTGACTCTAGGATAACCTGCTGCTTTTCTAGCTTAGCATCCCAAATGCACAAGCTCTCTGGGATTGTTGCTGTGGGTCAGTAATTCTCCTGAAAGGTGCAGGAGATGACACCTGGCCAGGGAAGCTTGCACCACTGGCTGCGCAGGAGACTTGTGCCATGGCATGCTTCCACATGTGAAGTGTGCCAAATTCACAAAATATGTTCCTGAAATACATGTTTCATACCCAGGTATGTGCACAGTTAATGTGTAATACCTGAACTTCTCCAGTGCACTCACCAATTTCCTATATAAAGGCATAAAAGTGCATCATGGTGTAAAAGAGGCTGGAGTCCAGAGGGACATTGACTATGTATTTTTCAGGCTGGTATAATTTCAGCCAATGTGTGTGGAGGTTTATTGAAGGGTTTATCTGAAGGGTTCGAGTTTCTTTTTCCTCACAGAACAAGACTTTCATGAGGAGTATTCTGTTAGATGCTTAAGGTCTTGAATTCGATAGCAGAGTTTTCACCCGCTTCAACAGGAGTCTCACTGAGCCCCAACAAGTAAGGGTGTTTTGCTTTGTGATGTTCTGCATGGAGACCAGAGGTCAGAAAGCAGCCTTTAGTATTCATTCTTGTAGTATAAAATGCTTCTGAAAAATGTGCATTCTTAAACAAACACTTTCACTTGTAAAGAGGGCTGACTACTTTAATGGGTAGGAGCATTGCCTGCTGTAATGGGAGAGCTGAGAGCATGTCCTCCATTGCATTTCTCATTCATCTAAACCTTTTATTGGTACCTATTTCAGCTAAACAATTGAAAAATCTCTTAATACTTGACTGAGGGGAATACTTAGCCCTGAACCTGAATAAAGTGGATATCAGTGGATGAGAGGGTGGAATAGAAGCATGATAAATACTATTAAATACCTTTCAGGTGCCAAAAATGTGAATGTGACTTCAAATTTTCATGCTTATAATCCTTTCATAAAAAATGAAAAAAAAAATCTAGGAATATTCCTATTTTTCAATTTTAAGGTCTTTTTTTTTTTTTTCACAGTGCTAAAATGTAGAAAAATAAAGATTGTAAAAATATAGTCTGAAAGAGTAAACACGAAGAAACCTATGCTGAGGAAAGTTTGAAAAGTTAAATAAAAAATGGTTTTGACAAATACTTGGATTTTAAAACTTCTGCATTGCTGGTCTAGCCTAGATACTTTGGTGGTCTCTAGTCCAATTCTGGAGTGCCACACTGAAAAGCAGAAGTGCCAGCATTGCCTCCTTATATTTACAAGAGACCAGAGTAACTTACAGGATCCATAGTGGATGAAGAAATTGAATTCTATAAAGGGTTTTAATCATACATGATCCGAGACTTTTCTGCCAAGTCAGGCTAAGTACTATACCATTATCAGTGACCCAAGATGAATTAAGTTTGTGTTCCAGGTAAGTACAAACTTTCAACATCTTCCTTCATGCTAAAAGTCATGTGATTATGCTTAGGTGTATATGCATGTAAGTACAAAAATTTCCATATAGTGTAGTTTTTTGGTTAAATTTAATCATACAGAAATCAAACAAGCACAGGCAAGTGTGATAGTAGAATAAGGTACAACTAGGGTCATGCCTGGGTTTTTCCATCATAAAATGCATTTGGTGTGCCCACTTTCTGAAGTTTATATGAAAGGTAACTGCAGCTTCGTCAGCCTCGTCACATCTCAGCCCTTCTGTGTTGGCTGTGAGAGAAAGGCTGCCCAGGGGCTTGCAGTGTAGCACCACAGCCTACAAAGCAGCATGTGCTGTCCAGAGCAGTTTGTTTACCTTTCCAAATATTTAGCTCTTCAATTTGTATAGACATTGAATATATCTGTCTGGCATGACTGGTGCAACAAGACATTCAGTGCTTCACAATTGCCATTTTCCTCTCACCATCCTTTTCTCCCCTGTACATCATTTTGAACATTGGAATTCTGCAGGTTATTCAATTTATGTCAAAGGTCCACTGTTCCTTTTGAACGAAAATTATTGGCATTTGTGTGTATACAACAAAGCCGTTGAATTCTGTAGAAAAACTTTGTAATCCAGAAGGACTGCAGTTTTGTTTTAACCCACTTTATGCATATTTCTTCCACTTTAACTGTCAAGAGTTTTCAGTAACAAAATGCACTGTCAGATGTGAACCACTTCTGAATCCCACTTTGCTCCTGGACTACTTGCTTTGCACTGCCCCAGCATAATGATTCTATTCTGAGTTGGAAATACCCTGGAGTAGAAACAAGCAAAATAAACAAAGTATTGTTGTTATTAGTTGTGTCCTGTGTAATAAAAGCACTGCTGAAGTTCTTTTGGGATGTACTGTAGCTGGATTGTACTGGTGTAATTATTGAAGATGGGGGAGAGATCACTAATGGAAGGTGAATCAGTGTTTCAGAGTTAGGCAGTGTTGTGAAAAATAGAGATCTGTTTCTGAGTCTGATATCATCTGACTAAATCCTTTAGTCCTTCCATTTAACAACAGGCTTATTTCATGCCAGAGTTACATTATGATGTGTGTATATGTATTTAAGCAATTTTCAGAGATTTTGCATCTGCATCATTTTTAAATATAACATTAGCTGGTATGTATTTTTATTAGTAAATTTTCATCAGTTTTACAAATGAAACTAAGGCACATCATTTGCAATTATGTTGTAAGGAGTACTTTAGTTCTAATGTCTGTTCATGATACATTAATTCTCTTCACAAGAAATATAATAAGTATTGAAAGAAATTTTAAAATGCAGACAAACTCTCCTAAGGATGATTAATTGAAAGTAATTTTTAAATTCACTGGATCCTTGATTGGTTGTTGGAGAGTAAAAGTGATGACTTTTATAAAGGCAATTATAGCACACAACAACCAAAGCAAAATACAACGCAGGATGCTAAACAGTGAGGCTAACTTTGATTATTAACTTGGTTTTTGGGACTTTTGAGTTGTGTTTTTCCCTTTAATAATTTTTATCATCCTTAGGTACATCAAAGACTGGTTGCAACCAGTGATGGGATGTTGGGCAGCCTGCATTTAGTGCTACTGCACAGGTTCTTATGCATGTTGTTTAAACACTTAGACTTATGCAAGGCATCCAGTTTAGGGACAGAAAAGAATTTTATCCTCAGTCAGACTGGCAGGGATTACTGGGATTTCTTCTGTGTGGAGTTTGTGACTTCATCATGCCACTGTCTGGGCATGTCACCTAAACTTGCACAATGGGTGTGATGTTTGTGCATTTTATTGCTTTCATCCTTGGTGTTGCTTTCATTCATAATTTTAATGTATTTGGGGTTTTTCTTTTTCACATCATAAGACTAAAGATGTCAGTAATACATGTGTTCTGGCTTGTGATGTACAGGTGTGTTGGAAGCGGATGCTCCATTTTGGCCAAAGTTTATGAAATTCTTCATATTGTGGGGAAATTCTTCCCTTGGTTTAAGAGAGAGAATGAATCATTGACAAAATTTTTACATTCGGTATGCCTACCATTTGACACAAGATAAATCTTAATGTAGAAGAAACTTGGACAATTTGTTCTATGGTTATGCTTATAACTAACACCTCTAATGGTACTTGAGTGAGAGTTATGGATCGTTTTTTTTTTCTCTGAGAAAAAAATGTTTGACAAGTTGACAGTAAAGAGATGCTTCATCCACGCTCCAAATAGGAAAATATAGATACACTAAACAGAAGACATTTAAAGTTCTGGCACCAGAAAGAAAAGTTTGACTTCTAGATGTGAAGGGAGTACATAAAAGCTTAAAATCCAAAGGTATTCTGATTCTCAGATAATGACGCTGCTGGTATGCCAAAAGACAAAAATGTCTCCTCTCCTTTCATAGATAGTGAGGTGACTTGTTTCTGTTCTTAAATTTGTGTTCCAAGATGAACTTGGTTTAGAGAACAAACCAGGAGGAAAGTTAGTTATTTACTGCTAACAGCTCTCACTGCTAGCACATTACGTCAGTCCGGGTTTTCCTAGCTTTCTTTTATGACTTGACTAATGCAAACTAGACATCATTGGTACCCTTGAAAGCAGAGCAGAACAGCTAAAGCGTGATTTGAGAAGCTTTGAAAAAGTAATTTTTCAAAAGAAATCCTGCCAAGGCTGCCTTTGCAGACTTTAATGTGTATATAAAGTTTCTTTCTGGAAATAAAAACTGCTTTTATGGTTTGGGTTCTTTTAATATGCATTTGCTAATATTGATGTGGATTGCGTTCACAAACTGCCTAATCTGTAAAGAGGCCTAGGAAAGGGCCAAAAATGTCAGAGTCATTCCTCAGACTTGTAGAGATAACACAGGAAGAGGTACTACTGCACATAAATGTCTTGGGTGTTTTTGCATAATACAGCTAGAGAGAAAAATATGCTTCTTAAGAACTAAAAGAAGGGGAAAATGTCTATTATAAGATGAGCTGATGAAGTAAAAAGTGCAGCACACCTGACAGAAAATATACTTCTGCCAAGAGCTAGTTGTTCTGTGTTCAGGAAAAAGAGTTAGCAAAACTTCTGTGGTGGCATCCAGTGTTATTACAGGGG